GAGAAAACACTGATGCTAATTCCTCCTAGATATATTTTCTAGGCCACAGCTTGCCAGCCCCTATTCTAAGCAGCACTGCAATCACTGAGCAGAGCCCCACCTTCACCATCGGCACCCCTAACCCCTTACAGTACAGGCCTCTGTTACAGAATACATTAAAGACAGTTTTTCCATGGAAGGAAGTTTAGAAACAGGGTACATCCCTTGGGAGAAGGTGTCCCTTGTGGTCCACAATACAAGGGTGGAAACTTTTCCTATTGTTGTAAAAACAATAACCACATGACAGAGACCTGGAACTTTTTTTTCTATAAAAAGCTACTGCTGACCACAGAAGAAGAAGGGGGAAAAAAAGCAATGGAAGGCCACACAGAAGTAAAAAGCAATTTAATTGGATTTGGTTTATTTGCCCCTTTTTTGCTTTGTGTGTAAAACACATACACATTCAAAAAAGAGTGAACTCAACTGATTTTATTTATTTATTTAGACAGAGTCTTGCTCTGTCACCTGGGCTGGAGTGGGCTGGAGTACAGTGTGCAATCTCGGCTCACTGCAACCTCCAACTCCCAGGTTCAAGCAATTCTCCCTACCTTAGCCTCCCAACTAGCTTTGATTACAGGCACCCACCACCATACCCAGCTAATTTTTGTGTTTTTAGCAGAGACAGGGTTTCACCATGTTGGCCAGGCTGGTCTCGAATTCCTGACCTCAGGTGATCTGCCTGCCTCAGCCTCCCAAAGTGCTGGGATTATAGGCGTGAGCCACCGTGACTGGCTCTCAACTGATTTTAAATGAAGAACAGAGAACATGAAATTTAATGACAATAGATTAAAAGAAACTACAAAGATATATTATTGACAATAAAGAATGAGGGAGGAAGGCAAGGAGAAAGAGTTAAGAAAAAGAAACGGATGGAGGAGGAAGACGTAGGAAAGAGGAATGAGAGACAGCAAGATTCAGGCACAGGCTCACATTCATAATCACACGCAAAAAGGGGGAGCCACCAAAGGACCCACAGAGACACTTCCTAGGGCTTGAAGAGTTAGCCAAAGTTAATTACATTGTTCATGGCCAGCTGCTGGCTGTAGCTCCAGACCTTGAACTATTATCACCCTTTACCCTTGCCTTTGAATGGTTAATGCTATGGTCAACCACTGTTCACAGCTTTTTTTTTTTTTTTTTTTTT